ATTTAACTATATATTTGTTAATACTATTGTTTAAATTTCTTATATTTTCATGTATCTTTCCTGTCTTGCAAGGATCACCTGTAACATAAATAATTTCCCCTCGGGGATCAATAAAGTATTTCTGATTCTGATTCTGATTCTGATTGGGACTAAAAATCAGCAGGTCGACAGTGACTTCAGAGATGGTGAGATATGTGTTTCATTAAGATGCTCCGGTAAGAACTGTTCATATACCTCTATCTGACTTGACTATCTTTAGGGCTAAAATGTTTTAGTGAAAGGCAGTTTCAGTTTGTGAAGGAATACTGCATGCTGTGCGCCATTTTAAAACCTGGACAAAAATAATGGAGTAATGCAACATGCGTTAGCGTATTAGTTACTGCCAAAACTAACGGCGTTACAGTAACGCGTTACTAATAACACTGGATACAGATGCTTTCGGTTGGTGGTTTGGATGATTACCAACCCAAAAAGTGTTGACCCTAAAGGAGCCCGAGGCCCTGCCCCCACTTGCACGCCTCATACCCCAATAAAAAGGCATTCTGAGTACACAAAACGGTACAGGAAAATCAACAGTTTCAACAGTTTTTTTCATTTCATACTTGAAATTAAACAATATATGAACTGTTACCAGTTTACAGTATACTTAACAGAAAGTATATTGTAAAAACTATTAACAAATTGACATAACAGATTCACATAATAAGTAAAACCTAACCCAACAATGATAATTCAACAATAAATTTTGAATTGGAATCAATATTTGCCTTCTTAACTCAGGTGAGACTCAGCTCCCAGACATGTCTCTATTATCTTTTTCAGAGTGAGTGAGATTGTCACAACAATGAGAACAGATGGTCCACCTTAACAGTCCACCTTAAGCAAGCCTGCTCAGGCTCAAAAGGAAGACTAACTTGCTCACTAACTTTGGGGCTAACCCACTTCACTGTAATCAGCAGGTGGTAAGGAGGACGTGGGAGCTTGGCTTGGGTCTTGACAAGTTGTGGCAGTTCTCCACGGTCTAACACCCCTCAACTGGACACACATTGCACCGCTATTTTTAACTTACTCTCATCTCTGATAACTGCAGCCTCACTGACACCATCATCCCACATACACTCTCTGTCTGTCTGTCTAAGGGCCCCTCATAGAGGGTTTTTGGGGCAGCAGAGGTGCACTGTGTTGTACCTCTCTGGGAGGTTTATATTTGTCACTGGAAAATGTGTTAATATGAGTGGCCATCAGGGGGCCCTTCTTTTTTGGGACCCCCAAACATTTCCTTGATTTGCCTTTCCTGACACTGCGCCCCTGAACCCAAAGCATCAGTGTTTGATGACCCGGGAATGACCTTCAGCACCTTTCTCCAGAGTTAGACACAGCACCTTTTCATGGTCACACACAACTAACAAAAGACAATAACAGTTGTGCAAAGCACACAGGGTTTGAAACATGAAAATGTGTTCCCGTGGATGCATATCTACAGTCAGAAGGGAATTGTTTGTGGGATTTGACAATGCATGCAGCCTGAAAATCTGGCTTTATCCCAAGTCGTATGGCTTCCTTGATGATTAAAAAACACAGAGAAGATTCTGAGAGGCTGCCAGATGACAGTGAAGGACGTATGCACCACTTGAGTAAGATAGTGAATTACTCAGAGAGCACTACATAAGATGATTCTCTCTCTCTGTTGCATGATACAACTTTGACCATTCGGCCTTTTCCTGGTGAGATTATCTGTATTTAAGACATGACCCGAATTTTCCACAGCTGCCCTTTTAAAACAAATCTTATTTGTTTGTCGTAGTTTCTGTCTGAGCAGCTGTATGCTGTGGTCTGGCGGCCACAGGCCAGTCTTCCTGTGTTTAACTAGGACTTAAGTTTCCACCAGCGGAAACCTGTTCACAGTAGTTCGCACCTTATTCACCACAGGAGTCAGAACAGAAGTCTAAAGCACAGAGCTGGCTAGTGTAAAGGTTGCACCCTCCGCTCACATTTCTGGTTAGAGGAGGTATTAATAGATCAGGGGGGATTTTTGAGCATGTCTATGCCGATGTTGTTTATTACAGCTTTTTCTTTGGCTACACACAGAGACTTTGAAGACTAAAACCGCACGTTTGACAACAACACTTGCTGTTGAGTGCTGTAAGTTTAGCTTTTTCTGTTTCATGCAATTTGTGGAGCCTCCAGCGTAAGTGTGTGTGTGAATCTTTTTTGTTCTGCAACTCCTCACTTTATTATGTTAGCATGAATAGTAACTATTTACTAAAACCTTCAACATCCAGGGCCATTCATGCCATCTGATGATGCCATCATCAAATGCCATGTATGGCAGGTAAGAAGTGTCCACTGTGACAATATACATCTCTTTGTTTTGTGGTGCAACTGTACTTTCATATGATGGAAGTGAATAGAATTTGTTTGCGTTGAAAAATTACTTTTGTTGTTCCATAGATCTAGCTGTGAACACTTTTTTTATTCTAAGCTTTTACACTAAAGAGATAGCCCCCAAACAGGGAGGTCTGTGAATTATTTTAGGTGACCACAGTTTTGTTTTTGGAAAGACATTTTTGGCATATTAAACCAAAACCAGACACTAACAAGTTTATGTGAGAATCAGTAGCGGCTCGTGGTGAAATTGGGTGGGAGGGATAACGCATTAGACCTATGGCCTATACTGATCAGTAGTTCAGCTGCAGTAACAGTAACATCACACCAAGATACAGTACCAGGTTACAGCAACAATGCACTACAACAAAACTAGAGAATTAAAGCTTTCTCTCTCTCTCTCTCTCTCCACCACCTCGTTCAGTATGATGCTAACACAGTTCGCAAGATTCAGCAGTCACTCTCCCACTACAGTAACAGTGGGCAGGCCCTCACTGTACTTCCACGCACTGGCCAAAAGTCAGTGGCCTGGGCTGAATTAATTTAGCCCAACTGGACAGTAAATCAAGGGGGCTTGTCATGACACCTGTCACTCACGATGTGACAACAATGATTGGAAGCTGATTCTAGGAGCATGGGCTGTAAAAAAACAGCCCATTTTGATAAATCCTGCATTTTTGTGACTATTTTAGTGCTGTTGCAGCTATAGGTTCCACCAAAAACAATCAGTTCTAAGGTTCAATAACTAATATTTTAATATTTTCGTTAATTTAATAATTTTCTCATCTTTATTGGAGAAGATAGGCAGGGGTCAGCCCTGCTAGCCCATTTATACCAGCTGTCTCTGGTGAGAATAGTTTCCTGTAATTTTGGTAGAATGGACCTTTAAAACCAACCAGGTGTCTTAGTTACTGCTTGCTTTGTCAGACCACACCTTTGCTAACCATAAATTAACCTTTAAGGAACACTTTACTGCAAAGGTTAAACTTTTTTCCTATCTGTTAGTCATAAGAGTATAAGTCTATGACATCCACAGTACTGGTTTATTATGTCTTGCATCAAAGTGATGCTTTTCCGATTTTCAACCAGCTCTGTGTCACTGTGGTGTGGGGAGTGTGTGCAGATGAACAGTGTTAAGTTGCCCCCTGTGCCACTAGCTCCCTCCCATGATGCAAAATGATGCATTTTGGGGTCCTAACACCATTCCATCTTCCCACACTACCCTCACCACAGTGACACAAAGCTGGTTAAAAATCGGCAAAGTTTTCTCTTTAACTTCTGACTTTTACAACAATTCAAATAACTTGACCCAGCAGCTGCCTTGATGCAGCAGTCACTGGATGCATGCAAGACTGCTAACAAGGCAGAATTAGCCTGGTAACCAAACAAATCTGTGAGCTGTTTTGCTTTGCTCTGGCAGATTCGTCTGGTCTCTCTCCCATTCACACTTCCAGCTCACACACTTTAGGCCAATCACAACCATTTATCTAGTTTGGGGGCGTGTTTGAGATGATGATTAACAGCTTGCGTAGCTTTTGCGTGTCATGCAAAATACATGATGGCATCTTTTTTGGCATACATAAACCTACCTTGGTAAAGAAAAGCGCTGTACAATTTTGGAAAACAGCCAAGATGGCTGCAGCTGATGCAGAACTTTTTGTTGAAGTGCTATTTTTAAATTCTGATGGCAAAAATGTTAACACTTGTTCGCAGACATATTGATGCTGTACCATCACAACCGATCTCTGCAGACTGTAGCCTGTTAACATTTGTCCGTCGCTCAGCACAATGTGACATTTCGTTGCTCTGACTGGTTGTAGGTCTATACAGTTGGATTCAGGGCCATTTTAATTTACAACTGATGAAAACACCCCTTGGAAAGAAAAAAAAAAGAAAAAAAGAAAACTGGACCTTCCTCTCAAATCAAATGAGTCAATGTCCAGTCACTCAAAAACTAGCCAATAGGGTTAAGCTGAATTATCGAATGAAGCGAGTTTTCGGTATAGATAATATACGTTTTAAGAGTACGAGTATTTGAGTAAAATGCGTCAATATCCGTACTCGTGATGAAGGAAAATCCTCATTTGGGTAGGTATATTCAGACTTCTAGTCTTGTGATCAAAAATAACCTTAAGCAATATATCATATTGCTTAAGCATATCAATTTCAGGCTTGAAATAACAACTTCTGGTTAAACCCCACCCATTTTCAGTGTAAGCTCCACCCACTCACACCCCGTTTATCCTAACATAGATATGAATACAGGTAATTTAGTTGGTTGAACAGACACAAATGCAGATACTGGTGTACTCACCTGTCCCTACAAGCCAAATCTGACAGCCATACGAGCACCGAATTTTACTCCAGGCCAGTACCAGACTAGAGCCTATATCAACACTTGATTGTCAACCTTTGACAGCTTGATTTGTGATGTGGCCTAACACAGTAGTTCACTATTTGATGAAACCACAGAAAAATGACAAGTTAAAAAAAAAGCAGGTACAATAGTGAAACAAATCATGTGTTATTTAGAAACATTAATATCATACATCATGATGCCAGACAAATTCATACTCAGTAATGCATACATTTGATAGCAAGGCATTCCAACTCCATCAGCCTTCAATCTCCCTGGTGTGTCTGCCCTGCCCAGATGAAACTTCTCGGTTCTGGTGACAATATTTAATGTTAGAATAAACCACAGAGTCTCCACTGTATTTCTCTGTAGCTCGTTTTGGGTGGAGGCTTCTTGGGGCAGAACGCACAGCTGCATAGGTAACTGCATCACTCTGTGAGGAATGAAAATGAAAATAAATAACTTCTGAAGGCTAGACACAGAAAGATGTGCAAATCAACAAAAAGGTCATATACAGCTGACATATGACACTGTTGGTGCTGAGACACAGTCTTACCTGATTGCCTTCAGATGATCCATCGATTTCCTCTGAGGAAACAAGGATAAGTCAGTTGTGGTTACTGCATAAGGATCTGATTGTGCTGCAGATATACAGCTGTTAATATGACTTTAAATACCTGTGGAATCTCTCTTCTGTCTCTTGCAAAATGTCCATATAAGAATGAGTGTTAAAATCCCAAGAATGATGTTCGACAACATAAGTGCAATAATGGTTGGACTCAGTTCAGCTGGTCTGGTGACAGCAGTGTCTGCGATGAACAGAAGCAAACAAACAGTGCGTCATTTAGATTTTTAATACAAAAAAATTGCAGTGCAATGTCCTCCATTTTTAAAAACAGAGGTAAGGCATCACGTATTCACACTGCACTACAAATGCCAGTAGTACGGCAAGGCGCTGGGCATGAATTTTGCGCTGAGCACTATTGGTTAGGCTTTTATTATATCTCATCGCAAAGAGTTGTAAAATGTTCAACTTTGGGTAAAATTGCTTTTCACTGATGAATACGTTAATATATTGTATATATATTTTGTTTCCTCTTATGAACACACACAGGCTGGCGGGTCTGTCCTCTCTCCATGCATACCTCAGCCTTCCCCTCATCCAGAGCAAGTACTCTACCTTGCGCCGATATGTTTGCTTCTGTGGATATACTGTATCATAACAACCAGATGCAAAGTGTCTCCAAAGCGCCTCCAAAGCGCCTCCAAAGCGCTCTCAAACTCTCCCAGCTGAGTGTTTCCTGAGGAGCGCCTGGCATTTTCAGCTGGAAAAAAATGCTTTGGTGGACACAGGGCCTTATGTATTCTCTGCTTTGGACGTGACAAGTGATTGGACCAAACTGGACCGAGTGAATTCCAGCTTGGCCCACTTACTGTTGACAATATCATGCAGTATTTGATATTTAGAGGGTAAGTTCACCCAAAGTTCACACACACACATTTTTCCTGCATTAAGATTGTATCTGGCACCAGCTCAAAGGAAAGTGTCAGTAAAAGTGTGTATCAATTTGTTTGTGGGGCTCAAGGCACTGTAAACATAATTTCGTTACTGCAAAATCAGCACTTGCAAATTTGTATTTATCATTTCTGGCTTACTGTAAATATAAATCCTTGTCCCTTTCCCAAACAGCGTCCGTCCACATGAAGTCACAACACAGTAGTAGGTTCCAGCATCATCAGAGCTGAGGTTCCCCATGTGAAGGTTGTACACACAGGTAGAGTCTCCACTCCCTGTCTTCTGGCAGATTTTATTCCCAGAGGAGTAAATCATTTGTGGAGCAGAATGATTAGAGTTTTTCAGCCACATGACAGTAGTGTGTTCTGCTGCACAGTGGCCTGTATGAACAGAACAGCTGAGAGTCACTGAGTTTCCTGGCTGGACTGATTTAGACTCCGGCTGCTGGATTGAAGAGTCACTGATTATGTTCACACCTTGGGAGAGAAATCAAGGGACATTATGTTTACATTCAGCTGAAATGACCTTGAGCAATAACATCGCTTTGACAACCTAATCGCCAGAAAAAATGTAGCCAAACATGGATAGGTTACATGTGTACATTATTATGAAGTTTAGGCACAAGAACCACTTGGTTATGGTTTGGAAAACATTGTGTTTTGGCTTGAAATACCCACTAAAAGACAGCTGCTTGTTGTGCCACTGTTTCATCAGGAAACACAGCAATGTCCAGTAAAAAACAACTGCTTTTCATGGCACTATCCCAGATGGAAGAACAGCGACAGGTCCCTAACAAACGCCCACGTTCAGGGTCTAAGAAACAGCTGGAAAAACACAACCAGCTTTGATTGTTGGTCTTGAAAAGTGGTCAGCAGTGGCCTGCGGCTTGGCAAGTGTCTTGCCATCTGACCCCAAATATACTATGTCACTTTAGAAACATTGATATGATATGTATGAAATGTACAAATGTAATGTGTCCGTGGTTTACCATAATGTACAATGCCAACATTTTCTTTTGGCGACTAGGTTGTTATTAAAAGAAAATAAATACCTTTCAGCATCAGAAAGGTCCCTGATCCAAACTGAATTTTGTTCAAGTGCATGACTCCACAGAAGTATGTTCCAGTGTCTTCCCATGTTGTTTCAGATATGCTCAGATGACTGTTGATTTTGTCAAATTTGACTGAATAATGGTGATGAGAGTCATCAGCAAATATACTCCGATTAAAGAAAAAATTGAATGCTGCCACAAGCTGTAGTCCTTTCCCTGTGGTGAATTTGTACCACACTCTTTTTTTCAGCTCACTTCTTATGTGACATTCAATGGTAGCCGAGTCTCCGAGCTTCACTGTTTGGAAGCGAACAGGCTGAGAGATTTCACTTAACTGTGCCGCACCTGAAATACACAAACACAATATAATCAGCTTCTCTGTGTGATTACGCTAATGAAAATGTTTTATAAGTGGATGTTTGCTACTTACATAGAGACCAGAGCAGGGAAACATTCACAAAGAACAGCATCTTGTCTGCTTCACTGATCCGGCTTCTTCTCCACAGCTGTTCTGACTTACTGAAGCAACAGTAGACTAAAGAGATTCATCCCTTGTCCTACATTTGGCCACATATGCCAGGTCTTGCAGAACACGATTGGCTGGTTCACACTAAAGCAAAAAACCCCTTCATCCTGGCCTGTTTTTACATCAGTGTCAGCAGAGTTTAAAATAGTTTGATGATTTGTTGTCACACTATGCTTGTTCTGTGTAAAGAGACAAAAAGTCATGACCCCATTGATATTACATGGCAACACACAGGTAAACCACAATGAGGGTGGCAAAATGGAAACTGCAATTTAGATGCAAACTTTACAGAAGAATGTTCAAACAAGTTTTTGTTTTTGTTGAATTATCAAAAGGACAGATGACCTCAAACTGAATGTGTGTTTAAATGCAAAGGGCTGGTAAGAGAGAAAATGTGGGTATT